CATGATCCTCAGTACCACAACTGATTTTTTTTTTTTTTTTTTTTTTTAACTACCAGAATACGTTGGGTAGGAACAGGATTCTCTAATCAGCCCAAACACTCTGAATTAGAGACTTGTACTGCCTTGTGCGCGATCTGCAGGAGCAGACAAACTGCATGCTCCGGCTGGTCGACACATTATGGCAGACCTCAAGGTTTGAGTTGAGTTTGTGTACATGGTCCGAAAGATAGGATGGTCACGGGATGACTAAACCAACAGGGAGTTGCCTCTCCTGTGAGAGCAGTCGCTGCTGCCCTGGTATCAGTTTCTGCCGTGGCGTACAGAGATCCGGCTGGTCGTTGTCGGCCACATCACTGTGCTTTTGCAGGTGCCGTATGTCCTCCTGGTGGAACACACAGGTGGAGACGCTATTGGAAATGTAGTTGAGCACGGGGATACAATATTTTCTGCGATGAGGTGTCTGGGTCTGCGGGAGCCCGTGTCCGGATGGCGACTGAAGTCTAAATGCGAGTTTCCACATTGAGAAAGGTGCCGTGCATACCAGAAGTGCTGTCGAGGTAGGCGTTGCCACCTGCGTGCACGCCCAATCGTATTTGTGATGATTTCCACCAAGAATTTGATTTCCTGGCTGTGCTAATTCCATGCGAATTAGTACAGAGAAGCATGTGCCCATTAATTCAACCATCGACGTCGAATAGCTAATTTATTTTTGTCATGTGTTATTTTATGAATTTCTGTTAGTTGAGGGAGAGCACGACTTTGAAATAACAGCAACACCTCCTAATTTATTCAGTATACTACGAAGAATTGCATAAATAGGTATTTATATGGGGGTTCCAAGTGGAGGTCTTGGGTGGCAGTGGAGCGTATCTGTATCACTTAGGTAGTTGAGGGCTCCAGTCGAGAGGGCTGTCCACTCTTTTTAGGCAAGTCAGGCACGCGGTGCAGAGGGCGTCTTCTCTCCCTTTTCCTCTAGGGGACTTCGAGAGGAGGTAGGGTAGGGAAGACATTGTGGATTACATTGGCAATTAGCGCTCTTCGCAGTAATCCTGGGTCAGCGTTAGCAAAAGGAAGGGGAATGGGTTGTTGGAGCGGGCTAGTTTTCTTGTAGGAGGTGGATTATGTGAGGTGACTGCGAGGAGGAAGGCAACACATTGCGCTTATACTATCGTTACGCTCATAACATCATCAATTCACACGAGGGGATAATTCTTCTTTAAGTATACAAGGGAGCGAGGAGACTGAGGGGAGTAAGTGTAAGTGGAGTGTCTTTGCGATGAAGGTCAACAACGAAGTGAGCAGCCGAACGTCGAAAAAAAATCTTCAACAACATGAAACAGAGAGGTTCCTATTTTCCCTCCTCCGACTCTCTGAACATCATCACCGTCTATCCTCTCTTTCCCTTCAGCCAGTCATAAATTAAAATTGAAAATGAATTCAAGCATGGTAGTAAAGTTAGTAAGTGATTAATAGCAAAAAGAGAACAACAATCCTGCAAAAAGCTGCTATTCCGTTTCAAATTTAACCCCTCAGTCCTAATTATTTGGTATTGTTCCAAGAGGAAAGAAGAGTACATCCTTCCTGCTCCATTTTTTTGCCGTTGTAATTCCGAAAGAATTGGAAGCAAGGGGGTGAGGTATTGTGACTAGATTTTTCCTGAGTGGGGATCCGGGCCGCCCGGGTGACCGGCAGGGGCCCGGGGGAGGTCCCGGGCAGCCTGGCCGGGCAGGGCACCCGGTTGGGGGCCGGGC